CCAAGCCACCCTGTCTCACATCATTGCGTAGACGTGCATGGCCACACGCAGAGCCTAAACTGAAACCCTACAACCTAAACCTTAACGGAATCAAAATGAAACCCTAAACCCTAAACCCTAAACCCTAAACCCTAAACCCTAAACCCTAAACCCTAAACCCTAAACCCTAAACCCTAAACCCTAAACCCTAAACCCTAAACCCTAACCCTAAACCCTGAACCCTGAACCCTAAGCCCCAAACCATCCTCCCAAAGCCCCCAGGGCCGAAGACTTGCTGCAGCCGAGGCTTCCGAGCTCAGAGGCTGCTCCATCGGGAGATCCTCCACACGGAGGGGTTTAGGGTTTAGGGTTTAGGGTTTAGGGTTTAGGGTTTAGGTTTAGGGTTTAGGATTCAGGGTTTATAGGATTTAGGGTGTTTTGTTGAGGGGGGGGGGGGGGGGGGGGGGGGGGGCTTGGGTGGCATAGCGTGTCAGGCGTGCGAACTCAACAAAAGGGTACAGCGATCTCCGACGCTGCAGTTGAAGCGAGCAAGAGCGACTTTTGGCATCGCGTCGCGCTTCTCTGATGCGGTCTGGCAACGCCGGTTCATTTTTTTGCAGCTGTGCTACGGCTGCTAGGGATTGCACCACAAGCTGGCGCACTCTTTCGAGTGGATCGTCTTGGGCTTATACTGAGTGTTCAATGAACACTACGCTCAAGGTCAGAAGGAAGTCAGACAAACAAAGGGCCCCAAAGGGCCTTTGGCCCCGTGCACGGCACGGGCCCAGAAAACTCTTCATGGAAAAATCCACAGCAACTTACTCGCTCTTAGAAGAGAAGCGGGGATTCTACATAAAGGGGTGCGGGAATGTAAGTTATATAAGGTACCGAAATCCCAACCTCCACAGCTAAGAGCCAGCAAGGCAAGTGAATCTGCTAGAATGCAGGCAAGAACGGGGCCAGCACCAAGGCGACAAACATGCCCACTCCGCAGGCAGCACTCGCCTCAACTTGTCCAGTCGTGGTCGTCGTCGTCTCGAAAGGTTCGAAGACCTTTCCCGGGCTGCACATAGGGGGGCTGCTCGCGCGGCCATGGATCCGTTCGCAGTGGCCGAGTGAATCGACAAGCGGGCAATCGCTGTGACTGACCACCTGCTGGGCATTGTTGTCGCTAGCCCGGCGAATGTACTTCTGCCCACAGGTGCTGGTGAAGTCAGCGTCCCAGATCGCCTCCATCAATCCGGCCAGGGTCTGCTGCGGCTCCGACTGCTGGATGTCGAACCAGCCCATGCCAACCGTGCCGTCCTCGAAAGGGTCGCTGATGTACCCATCAACGCGAAAGATGTTCGGAGGGTTCCGTGCGAGAGCTGGGACCTCCTGAGGCGTGACGTTGTAGACTGTGCCAAAGCCTGGGTAGGCGGACGCGGCGTGGGTGGGCCAGAGAGAGAACTCGTCGATGATCACATCCGCCTCGGCCAGGATGGACTTGAAGCCTGCGTCGCCGTCGCCGATGTCGCAACTCATTGTCTTGGAGCCGTCATTGTTGCTTGCAAAGGTACAATTCTTGGGGGCTGTGGCCGGCAAGGAAACTACCTGGGCCCCTGCGTCGTCGATGAACCTGCTCTTGTAGATGGCGTTGTTGATGACGTTCTTGCCACCCCACCTGGTAGGTTTGGCTCCTACCACCCCATGGAAAACACTTACAAGATAAGGTGCCCTCTTAAACCCCAACATACGGGCCAGAAGCAGCAAAAAGTGCCCTGAAGAAGGTGCTGCCGTGTCACTGCGTCACGAAGATCGCCTTCGGCTGCTCCCCGTTGTATTGCGTGCTGGCGTCGGTGCGGAGCTGGTTCCCGATGGTCTTCAGCGCGTTGTAGTCTGCCTTGACCTGCTCAAAGATGTGTTCTGCTTGCTCTTCCTCGTTGTAGAACCTTGGGGAAGAAAACGGTTGCTTAGGGTCCATCTCTTGGATTTCGGGACTGTTAGGTTTGCAGTGTAAGATGATCCCTTTGGGGTTCTTCTGAGTCCCCGAGGAACAGGGCCATGAACTTGACCCACTCGGCACGGTCAAGGGTGCCGCGGTCGAGGGAGATCTGGAAAGGGACGTCCTTTTGCGCATCGCCGAAGTACCCAGCACCAAAGGCGTCTGTGAAAAGGAGGTCCGTCTGGTTCGCCCGGGTGCTCCATGTCGCGTTGGATGTTTTCATGTGCATTTCGGGGAAGCATTGCGCCATGAGCTGCATACATGGTGACGAGGTGAGCGAAATGTCGAGCAAGTCGATGGACTGCGTCACGCCCAGTAGTTCCATGAAGGGGAGAGGGACAGCTGACCCAACTGTTGCCTTCTTGACGGGAATCTCGAAGAAGCGAGCATTCGATGGGACGCCAGGCGAGCTCGTCGTAGGCTTAGTGGTGCCGCACTGGTAGAGCACGATCGGTGGGACCGACGTGCCTTTCAAGGCCGGGTCCGGGTGCCAAGTCGAGCTGTACATCGACAGGACGGGGGAATACTCCAGCACCTTGTACTGGTCATAGTAGGTGACGTCGAAGAAGTCAGCGTAGCTGATCTTGTCCAAGCCCGCCAAGTTGCTAGGAAACGGCTTGCCCCATGAAGGGCAATCACCCACTGCCACCTCCAGGCAAAGAGCCGCAAGAGCCGCCAAAGCGAACATGGCGCGAGACACTGACAAGTCTAGTGAAGCACCAGACCAAGCAGAACAGAGCGACCCGACTTGTCCTGCTTTTGCTGATCCTGTTGCTTCGTGATTCGCGTTCCTACGCAGTGGCTGTCGACGACCTGAACCATAGATGCCTGCTGCATGCTCAAGCTTCAGCAGCAAGCCTCGGCACCCCTAAACCCTAAACCCTAAACCCTAAACCCTAAACCCAAAACCCTAAACCCTAAACCCTAAACCCACACTCAACAGTCACTTCCAGGGCGCCTCGTGTGAAGCGGGCAGATCCCGTCACCGGTGTTCGGGGAGTCCAGGAAAGCCTCGGTGCGACGCTCGGAGGCGAAAGAAATCGACGAAACTCCTGCTTCTTTGTGGGCCTGTCTTTCAAGACTACAGCCTGTCGTGCTCTACGCTGGCATATATATATATATATATATATATATAGACATATGTATGTACATATATACGTAATTATGTCTACATATAGGCTTGCCTTGCTACCCTGAGCCCGAAACCCTAACCCTAAACCCAACTCAAACCCTAAACCCGGCCCTCAGACAAGACCCTGAACCAGGCCCTAAACCCTATTCGCATATGGAGGCCCCCAGTTGGATTTAGGATCTACGATACGAGGAGGAATCCGGCTTCGGTTGTTTCGGCCCAGAGTAACCCAGGATTAAAAAAAGTAAAGGGGCTTATAAGAGAACCGAACCCTAAACCCTAAACCCTAAACCCTAAACCCTAAACCCGAAACCCCCCAAAACAAAAATAGGGGGGGGGGGGGAAGGAGCGCCGGCTCTGGGTCCCTCAAGTGCGGAATGCGCCATCCTTCCCAGAGCTGTCAACCTCATGATCATGTAGAGGATTCCGAAAAGCTTTTTTTTTTAGGGTTTAGGGTTTAGGGTTTAGGGTTTAGGGTTTAGATTGGGGGGTTCGAGAATAAGGATTGTAAATATTTCGGGGGTACGTTAGGGGGGGGGGGGGAGGGGGGGAGGGCACCCCTATGTTGTCGGTAATGTCTTTGGGTCCCTTGGGTTCGGGTGCAGCCTCATCGCCCTAAACCCAGAACCCGACACAAAGCATGAACATGGGCGCCCAACCAGCTTGTTCACAAAGGTTGCCGAAAGCGTGCGGGTCTTCTTGCCTGGCGACGCGTCTTGGGAGGATCTGGGGATGTAGGGCAGTTTAGGGGGTTTAGGGGATTTAGGGTTAGAGCTTAGGGTCGTTTGTAAGTTTAGTGGTTTAGGGTTTAGGGCTTAGGAGTTTAAAGCTTAGGGTTTAGGGTTTGCAGGGTTTCAGGTTAGGGTTTAGGGATTAGGGATTAGGGATTAGGGATAAGGGTTTAGGGTTTAGGGTTTAGGGTTTAGGGTTTAGGGTTTAGGGTAACTCATCTTGAGGAGCTCCGGCTCGCTGCCTGCTTCACTGGTGAAACCTTGTGTGGCCCATCGCCACGAGGGGTGTACAGCAAACCCCAAATAGTTGGAAACCTTTTTAAGGACAAATAGTGCTGGGATTCCAACTTTTTGGCTTCTACTTTATAGGGCTTGGAGGCCTGGGGGTGCAGGATTTCGTGAGCGCTCTCTGGAGGCAGGGATGCCTGGGGTGCAGGGGTTTAGGGTTTAGGGTTTAGGGTTTAGGGGGGTTTTAGGCTTGAGGGTTCAGGGCTCCTTGGGGACTGCAGTCAGCGAGCGCTGAAGCGGACCAGTCAACACCATGTCATACTATCTTGAACCCGAAACCCTAAACCCTAAACCCGAAACCCTAAACCCCTGAAACTCAGACGCTCCGAAGCCCTCAGCCGCCTGAACCCGGGCTTGCCGGACACGCACAAAGGGGTCCAGGCGAGTCTCATCGCCGCCTGCCCTCACTAAGTTGCAGTGCGCAAGGTTGCATGGAGGAGCATGGCGAATAATTATTGCATTGCACAATCGCCCAGGTCAGAAGAGAGATTCAGTCGACGAAGTTTGAAAGTGCTCAACGCATGCAAAGAGATGATGCTCTCTCAGCTTGCGCAGAGTCCAATGAGCGCAAGAGAGCCAGCCATCTTCATTTGGAGTCATCGAAGTCGGCATCCATGTTGGCGCTCACGCGCAGAATCGCACATGCCCCTCTACCAAAACCCCCTGCACCTCAACCGACAGGGCCTCGGGGGAGCCACGGCACGGAGGCGAAACATGGCGAAACACTCCTCCTCGCAACTGCAGACCTCGGTGCCCGAACCCTAAACCCCAAACCCTAAACCCTAAACCGTAAGCCCTAAACCCTAAGAGAGGGGGCTCTTGCTGTGCCTAGCAGCTTCGCATGCCACCCGAGGGGGCATTTTTGCAGCGCCAGAAAATCTGCCCCTCACAAAGGCGGCACTTGCTTGAAGAAGGTGAAGGCCGCGCTGTGATACCGGGAGATCACCGGCGCAAAGGCGCCGATCGGCTTGCTACTGCGTGTGTATATCGGCCGCACCCCACGACGCATCAGACATCGCGAGGCTACTTGCCTAGTTCATGGTTGGGATAGTATAAAAAAACTCAAATGTATATTCCTTACTGGGTTTAAGTACCCTTTAGAAATGTAAGATGTTACCCAACTAATGACAAAGTTGCAACTCCTGAGCCTCAGGTTCCACTGCCTCGGGCGCCTGAAGTGTCTCGTCATCTGCACAGGCTGTCCAGAAGATGCAGTCGCCTCTTCCTATGATGGCCCTTAAAGCCCTCTGCAAAATTATTCCTCTAAATGTCATCAGCCCAAAAAGAGAAAAGAAACATAAAAAATGTCCCAAGGGTCTACCGAGCTTCGCATCAAGACCGGGCGGAAGAGGTTGTAGGAAATTCCGGCGTTCTCCGAAGGGACACCCTTTGCCATTTCCAGCAGATCGTAGGGAAGCGTAAGCAATGGCCACCAGTCACTGGCATTGGCGCCGAATCGCGAATGCCGGCCTTGGAACCGAATATTTCGGCTGTACGTACGGAAGAGTCCAAACTTCAGCAGTCTGAGTCTGTTCGCCGCTGGTATGTAAATGGCCAAGCGCAGGTGGATAAGGTAGGCGTTCGTATGCACGCCTAGGACGCTCTGACGTAAAACTTTCCCTCTTACACCCCATAAAGGGAAAACAAAAAAAAATATGCTAATGGCCTGCCGAGACGCAGTACTGGCTGTCAGCTACTAAGTTGCAACCTGCATCTGCAAAGGCCCTTCCGGGCAGACCTGCCGTGGTGTTCGACCATTGATTCGCGTGCTTCTCATCTTCATTCCCCATTACAAAGGTGGAGTTGGGAAACAGAAGCTCGGCATTCTTGACATGCTGGCTCCATTGATCATGGTAGGTATGAAAATCATCCTCGATGTTCGGAAGCCTCTCGATGGTCGCATACAGCCGCAGGTGTCGCATGGGAATACCCTTCTCTTCGCCTGAGAAGCCCAGTAACCATATTACAACAAGGGCACCCTGCTTTTTTTCGGGTTGGTTACTTTATAAGGGAACCTTGAACCAAGAAAAAAGGGAAAAGGGCAGCCACTGGGCTGACAAGTCGCAGAACTGGACAAGCCAGGTGTCGCAGTTCCATATGCGGTCTTCCCGCAAGCTTTGCCGCAGCAGGCACTGGTCCAACAGCCGATCGAACCTTGGAGAACAAGCGATTCCCTTTTTGGGTTTAGGACCAAATGAACCCTAAGGGTTTATGGTTCATATACCTTCAGAGGAATTATGTAGTAGTATAGGGTATATGACCCCAATCTTAGGGTTCATTTAGTCCCCAGGGTAGGGTCTAGGAATCGGGGATCACCTAGCAAATCCTACCGTCAGCCGCGTGCCCTTTTAGGTTGGCCCAAGTAATCTCCAACAAATTTTATAGCAGCCTTTAGCCCAACAGCATCAAACCAGAAACAGCATCTCCTAAACCCTCCACCCTGAACCTTAATTAAACCCTACCTGAAGAAGTCCAGACTTATGTACTTTTTTGTAGCTTACCTAAGGACCCTATAAGGGTTAGATAATAAAAGCCTACAAACAAAAGTAGGCTTTGGGTTCTTAAAGTAGGATTTTCGTAGTTAAACCTTAAACTTTTAAACCCTAAACCGCAATGGCAAATTAACCCTAAACCCTAAACTGCAACTAAACCGTTCGTCCCCAAGGAACATATCCTCCGCAAACCTGCGCGGGACGATTTGCACCGGATCGCGGAAGATGCCACCTTGGGCCTTCACCTTAGTGTTGATGTAGAGCTTAGGGTTTAGGGTTTCGGGTTTCGGGTTTAGGGATACTCCGGTTGGCCATTGCGGTTACGGCTGGTTGTTGGTTTACAAGACTAGGGTTGCGGGGCTTCGGGGCTCGAGGTGTTGGGGTTGTTCTAAGGATTGGCTTCTCATCCCCAAAACCCAAAACCCAAAACCCAAAACCCAAAAACCAAAACCCTAAACCCTAAACCCTAAACCCTAAACCCTAAACCCTAAACCCTAAACCCTAAACCCTAAACCCTAAACCCTAAACCCTAAACCCTAAACCCTAAGCCGAAGCAGTAAGGCACCAGCTCCGCGAAGTACACAGCCGAGTGTGGCAGCTGGTGTAGCGCAGGAAGCTGCCTTTGATTCCGCAGGGTTTAGGGTAAAGCATAGGGTGTAGGGTTTAGGGTTGATTACGGGGTATAAGGAGGGACCCCTAGAAGGGAAACTGAATCTTATTCCCCTGTATAAACCCTTTATAACCCTTATGTAGTCCCTATATACCTAAGTAGCCCCTAAAGAACCCCAAAGAACCCCTAAGGTGCCTAATATGGGTCCCTCCAGTAGTCCCTGGATGCTTTAATGGAGGATATATGGAGCCTGAATCCTAAACTCTCTCCCGTCCCCCCTCAAAGAAAGCAAAAACAGTAATATCTAGAACAGATGAGTATAATCTATCTATCTATCTATGTGTATATATATATATACATATATATATATATACACATATATATATATGAAAGAGCAGCCTTTAGGGTCTATTTAGCTCATTCCTTTTTTTAATAAGCAGAAAATAATTTAATTTATTTAAATAAATTAAACTATTTAAATAGAGAGAGCTTAATTAAATTATTTAAATCCTACGCCCTATTTTTTTGAATAAGTAAGGCGTCGGATTTAAATAATTTAATTGGCTCTGTGCTTGTCTATACCCACCTCCCACCACAATTAAATTAATTTAAACGATTTAAACGATTTAAACGATTTAAACGATTTAAACGATTTAAACGATTTAATTGGGTCCAATTAAATCGTTTAAATCCTACGGTCCAATTAAATTATTTAATTGAGGCGTCGGATTTAAACGATTTAATTGGGCCCAATTAAATTGTTTAAATCCTACGGTCGAATTAAATTATTTAATTGAGGCGTCGGATTTAAACGATTTAATTGGACCCAATTAAATCGTTTAAATCCTACGGTCTATTTAAATTATTTAATTGAGGCGTCGGATTTAAACGATTTAATTGGACCCAATTAAATCGTTTAAATCGTTTAAATCGTTTAAATCGTTTAAATTAATTTAATTTGTGGGGGGACTCAGCCAAGCCATAAACCAATTAAATCATTTAAATCCTACGGTCTAATTAAATTATTTAATTGAGGCGTCGGAGTTAAATAATTTAATTGGCTCTGTGCCTGTCTGTACTCACCTCCCACCACAATTAAATTAATTTAAACGATTTAAACGATTTAAACGATTTAAACGATTTAATTGGGCCCAATTAAATCGTTTAAATCCTACGGTCCAATTAAATTATTTAATTGAGGCGTCGGATTTAAACGATTTAATTGGACCCAATTAAATCGTTTAAATCCTACGGTCGAATTAAATTATTTAATTGAGGCGTCGGATTTAAACGATTTAATTGGACCCAATTAAATCGTTTAAATCGTTTAAATCGTTTAAATCGTTTAAATTAATTTAATTGTGGGGGGACTCAGCCAAGCCATAAACCAATTAAATCATTTAAATCCTACGGTCTAATTAAATTATTTAATTGAGGCGTCGGATTTAAATAATTTAATTGGCTCTGTGCCTGTCTGTATTCACCTCCCACCACAATTAAATTAATTTAAACGATTTAAACGATTTAAACGATTTAAACGATTTAATTGGGCCCAATTAAATCGTTTAAATCCTACGGTCCAATTAAATTATTTAATTGAGGCGTCGGATTTAAACGATTTAATTGGACCCAATTAAATCGTTTAAATCCTACGGTCGAATTAAATTATTTAATTGAGGCGTCGGATTTAAACGATTTAATTGGACCCAATTAAATCGTTTAAATCGTTTAAATCGTTTAAATCGTTTAAATTTTAATTGTGGGGGGACTCAGCCAAGCCATAAACCAATTAAATCATTTAAATCCTACGGTCTAATTAAATTATTTAATTGAGGCGTCGGATTTAAATAATTTAATTGGCTCTGTGCCTGTCTGTACTCACCTCCCACCACAATTAAATTAATTTAAATGATTTAAACGATTTAAACGATTTAAACGATTTACTTGGGCCCAATTAAATCGTTTAAATCCTACGGTCCAATTAAATTATTTAATTGAGGCGTCGGATTTAAACGATTTAATTGGACCCAATTAAATCGTTTAAATCCTACGGTCGAATTAAATTATTTAATTAAGGCGTCGGATTTAAACGATTTAATTGGACCCAATTAAATCGTTTTTTTAAATCGTTTTTTTAAAACGGTTTTGTTTTACAATCGTTTAAATTCGTTTTTTTTTTTTTTTTTTTTTTTTTTTTTTTTTTTTTTTTTTTTTTTTTTTTTTTTTTTTTGTTTTTTTTTTCTTTTTTTTTTGTTTTTTTTAAAATCGTTTTTTTAAATCGTTTAAATTAATTTAATTGTGGTGGGAGGTGAGTACAGACAGGCACAGAGCCAATTAAATTATTTAAATCCGACGCCTCAATTAAATAGTTTAATTAGACCGTAGGATTTAAATGATTTAATTGGTTTATGGCTTGGCTGAGTCCCCCCACAATTAAATTGTGCCTGTCTGTACTCACCTCCCACCACAATTAAATTAATTTTAACGATTAATTCTTTTACCCCACCCCCCCAGCCCTCCTCCACCTTTCGTGCCCTCTACCTTAAAAACGAAGGCTTGTACTTGCACTTGTACTTGTAATGTACTCTGATAGGCGCAGAGTGTGCCTAGGTCACTTGAGAAGTTTTGAGTGGTGCAGCAAACCCAGCTGATGCTCATGATTTCTCTGTCTCCCTATATATGGGCGATGGAACGGGTGTCCTTTTTGATCGTTTTCTGCATTTTGAATGGAGAAAAAGGACCCCCCAAGAAGGAAAAGTAACATAAGAAAAAGGGAGGGACATTGAAGAGCTCCTCTCTTTATTTAGTCATTCCCTGTCCTCTCTTCGTATCTGTTGTTTTTCTTAGTCGCTTCAAAACGCAAAATAAGGGAAAGGCGATTTCCTGAAGAGGAAGAAGGGCACCTATCTGTGAATAGCAAGATTGGCTTTTTCTAATTAGGGAGAGACAAGGGAGTTATAAAAAGCTTTGATTAAAAAAATTACATAATTTAAACAATTTAAATAGTTCAAATAATGTAAATAACTTATATAGTTTAAATAGTTTAAATCCGAAAAGAGGGGGGAACCACCCTCCCCGCCCCCTAAGAATTAAATAATTAAAATAATTTCAATCCGAAACCTCCCCGTCGTACTTAAATTAATCATTATTAAATTCTTGGAAGGGGGGGAAGCTCCGGGCAAAACTTGGCCAAATCGAGCCGCGCATTTCTCATCGCATACGAAGAGCTGCCCGATTTGGCCAAATTTTGCCCGAAGGCTGCCCGGCAAAATTTGGCCAAATCGAGCCGCGCCGCCTGCGAAGAGCAGCCCGATTTGGCCAAATTTTGCCCGAAAGCTGCTCGGCAAAATTTGGCCAAATCGAGCCGCGCATTTCTCATCGCCTACGAAGAGCAGCCCGATTTGGCCAAATTTTGCCCGAAAGCTGCTCGGCAAAATTTGGCCAAATCGAGCCGCGCATTTCTCATCGCCTACGAAGCGCAGCCCGATTTGGCCAAATTTTGCCCGAAAGCTGCCCGGCAAAATTTGGCCAAATCGAGCCGCGCCTTTCTCATCGCGTACGAAGAGCCTGATTTGGCCAAATTTTGCCCGAAAGTTGCCCGGCAAAATTTGGCCAAATCGAGCCGCACCTTTCTCATCGCCTACGAAGAGCAGCCCGATTTGGCCAAATTTTGCCCGGAGGCTGCCCGGCAAAATTTGGCCAAATCGAGCCGCGCATTTCTCATCGCGTACGACGAGCAGCTCGATTTGGCCAAATTCTGCCCGCAGACTGTCCGGCAAAATTCGGCCAAATCCAGCCGCACGTTTCCCATTGTTGGGCCCTTTGGGGCCGTTTTTTTGAGGCCGAATTGGGCCCAAAGGGCAAATGTTGCCCAAAATTAGCCAAAGGAGAAAAAAAGAGCCCACTTCATAAACTGTATAAACCTTATAAGTGGTTTTATATAATTCTTTTACCCCACCCCCCCCAGCCCTCCTCCTTTCGTGCCCTCTACATCAAAAACGAAGGCTTGTACTTGCACTTGTACTTGTAATGTACTCTGATAGGCGCAGAGTGCGCCTATGTACTTGTAATGTACTCTGATAAGCGCAGAGTGCGCCTAGGTCACTTGAGAAGTTTTGAGTGGTGCAGCAAACCCAGCTGATGCTCATGATTTCTCTGTCTCCCTATATATGGGCGATGGAACGGGTGTCCTTTTTGATCGTTTTTTGCATCTTCAAGGGAGGAAAAAGGACCCCCCAAGAAGGAAAAGTAACATAAGAAAAAGGGAGGGACATTGAAGAGCTCCTGTCTTTATTTAGTCATTCCCTGTCCTCTCTTCTTATCTGTTGTTTTTCTTAGTCGCTTCAAAACGCAAAGTAAGGGAAAGGCGATTTCCTGAAGAGGAAGAAGGGCACCTATCTGTGAATAGCAAGATTGGCTTTTTAAAATTAGGGAGAGACAAGGGAGATATATAAAGCTTTGCGACAAGTTTTGTCACTCCGTCTCCTTGCTTCCTGTCTGTTCTATTCCTTGCAGAGATAAGGGAAAGAGGATAGATAAAGAAGAGCGCCATCTTCTTTGCTCCTTGTTTTGTCTCTCCCTCTCCTTTATTCATCTCTCTTCCATTCTTTTCTTGGCTCTTCCCATTAAAATTGTGTTCTTTTTATCGCTCATCTCTCCTTCTCTTTCCCTTCTCTTCTCCTGTTCCCCTTTATATGACAAAAAAACACAAGAAAGGAAGAACAGGAGGGGAATGGAAGCCCTTTTCCTGTCTTCTCCTGTTGCAATGAATAAGGAAAAGAGCATAGGAGATAAGGAAGGGAATTGAAGAGTAAATGGGCGATGGAACGGGTGTTCTTTTTGATAGTTTTCTGCATCTTCAAGGGAGAAAAAGGACATCCCCCCAGAAGGAAAAGTAACATAAGAGATAGGGAGGAAAATTGAAGAGCTCCTCTCTTTACCTAGTCATTCCCTGTCCTCTCTTCTTATCTGTTGTTTTTCTTATTCGCTTCAAAAAGCAAAATAAGGGAA